GCACTGCTTAGGCATTAGTGTTATTTTTGTCTAGCTGCCTTCGGTGAAACATATTTCTTCTATCTTGTTTGTAAACTGCATATGAATTGTTGTACGCATTCTTTCTTCATTTGTTAAATTGAAAAGGGATCAACATGCATGTTTGCAGAATCTATATTACGTAATTGTGGGTTTCGAACCGAACTTTTCATGTCTCCACACCTTATAGATGTTCGTGAAAGGTTTCGATTGGATGGGTTAGTGTTCAAATTTGCTAGTATGTCTGTTTGATTCATTGTACGTTGGTAGTTAAGTTATTATTATTGTTTTTTTTAGCTTGGCAGTTTGCATTTTCTAGAATCTGGCGAACCTATGCTATCTAGTATTTATAATTTTAGGTATAAATAGTTCTGTAACTTTCTTTTCTTTCCTGGCTGCTTCAGTGTGGAAATACGTGAGGAGAAATTTATGGAATATTTCTGGTGGTGCTATGATAAGCCGAAGGTATGTCTGCAGTAGTGTTTCACACTGATTTTCTATGAACTTCTGTTCGGGTCTTCTGCAATTATACATGGCCTTCTTTTACATTATTTACCGGGTTTTGTTGACCAGTACTATTTATCATTGAACAAAAAGTGTTGTCTTTCATTTTGGTTTTTCCCTCGAACAATGTGTTTAATCCTGTTGACCTTTTGTTCATTGATTTGCAGGAAAAAACCAGTGATGATGTACCAATGCCTACGTTCTTTCAGTTCCTGGCCTTGCTCGCCTTTAAGATATTTTCAGCAGAGAAGGTTTGATGTGTGTTACATCCTTCTATACAAAGCCATTTTCCCGTGTTGCTTCTTCCATTTCACAAGCACCCTCTGCTAGTGAAGCAAAAATAAATATTACCTTTAAATTGTCTATGCAGGTCGATGTTGCTATTCTGGAGGTTGGCTTGGGTGGAAGGGCCGATGCAACTATCGTGGTATGTTTCCTAATTTAGTTCACAAATAGTCTGCCAAGCAAAGCATGTCATTTGTGGTCACCGAGGTGCTGAAATATAATGCCAGTGCTTATCTTTTTCCAATTTTTGTCAGCATGTGTTATTTTTTTCAGGTTCAAGCACCTATTGTGTGTGGTGTATCTTCCCTCGGGTATGATCATATGGAGATTTTTGGTTAGTGTTATATATATTACCTCAGTTAATTGCTATTAAATAATGGTCTACAAAAATATGGCTCATAAATGTATCATAGTTAATATAAATGACGTATAGTTTTTTAAAATTGTTGAATAAGATCTTTGAGAGACAAAGAAGAATTTTAATTTGTATTGCATTATTTTTAAAACCATGCAGTAAATTCATAACATCAATGATTTTCTTGGACCTCATGTTGGAAACTATATTTTCATTACATCTTTGAGGTTTCATTATCCGGAGCACTTGAAGTTTTAATCTTAAATAGAGAAAATCTAAATTATGCAGAATTAGGTGATAGTAGAGTTAGACCTTTTTTAGTGTTGTCTATATGGTAGTCAAAATACCGTACCGATATCGGCTGTACTAGTCTTAAACTGGTGCCATGTAGTTTAAGTTCTGTACGGGTAAATTTTTGGTTGTCTATCTGCTTCCTTGATTTAGACTATGAAATCTGCTTAGTGTCCCTATACCAACTTTCTGAGCTCCGAGAAATAGTTGTGAATTTTTGTCATTTGATGTATCCGTATATGTCAGCTACTGCTTTCAGAATAATTCAAGTTAATGCTAAAGATTTTGCTTTCTTTTATTTTCTGGATGGCCATAAACAGGAAATACTCTGGGGGGAATTGCTGCGGCAAAGGCTGATATATTTAAGGTGTTTTTACTTTAAGAACTATATTGATTTAAAGCATATGATAAGAGTCTGTCTCCGTGTTGTAACATAATTTAAATCTATCTCCAGTTTTTGTTTGTACCTTTTCAAATGCAGCATGAGATACCAGCCTTTACCGTACCTCAACCTGATGAGGCAATACAGGTTCTTGAAGAGAAAGCTTCAAAGTTGAATGTAAGTTGCATAACTCTTTCATTTCTGAGTTCCCTTAAAAAGATATTCACGACTCAATTTGTATTCAAATTCTGGATTTTGCGTTGTTCGAGAAGACATAAGCTATGCTAGTCTGAAGACATGTTCTTCACAGGTAAAACTTCAAGTGGCGCATCCAATAGATGCAAGTTCGCTCAATGATCTGAAGCTTTCACTTGATTGCGAACATCAATATTTAAATGCCGGTCTTGCCGTCGCACTGTGTACTGCTTGGCTTCAGAGGATTGGTCATCCTATCAGCAATTTCATTCAAACAGTGGGTTCTATTATTACACTTTCTTTGCATTCCAGCTACTGTTTGCTTAAATGTGATTTGTTTCCTCGGTTGGAATAGGGTCCATTACCTGAACCATTTATTAAGGGCCTAACGACAGCAAGTTTGCAAGGGCGGGCTCAGATTGCCCGTGATCAGTTAACCGATATTGAAAGTGTCGGAGATCTAGTTTTTTATTTGGATGGAGCTCACAGTGCTGAAAGTATGGAAGTTTGTGCGAGGTGGTTTTCTCTTTTCACTAAGGATGACAATCACCAAACAAACCTGAATTTTGAGGCACAGCAGCAGACGTTCGAATGATCTGAGGATACTGCGCAGGTAGAAAAACCTGCTTTGTTCCACAATAAATTTCCACAGTTTTTAAAATTTATACGTAAAAGAGAGTATTTATCCTTATGGTCATTGTGTTGTCGATGATATTCTCATAACTTGTGTATTTGGTCTCATTATTTCCAATATTTAAGCTTTTCTATTTTATTTTGGTGCTGGCTTGTATTTGCTTATGAGTTTATAGTATTAAGGATAATCTAAACCTAGGAGGGTTTCGGGTTTTCAGAAAGCTTTAGAACTCCGAATTTTAACAATTGAGTTTATAAAACTCTTGAGGCGAGAATAAAACATATTTTGAATATTCCTTGAACTGTAAACTATTCACATTTTTCTAATATATATGCGTGTACATCTGATTTATATTTTTTGTGCTTTGTTTTATGATGAATTTCTGATCTTCAAGCTGTGAAGTGTAAACTAGATTCAGGCTGCATCTTGCTGATGGTGGACTAAAGTTTTTGAGATCTATTTGAAGATTCTGCTGTTCAATTGTATGTCGGTACGAGATCCACAGTTGCTTCTGCCACGCTTGATGAGGACATGTGCTAGCCATGGTAATTACGCCAGTTAGAGGCCTGTTTAGATGTGTATTCTTGTATAGGATTTTATATACTTGTGATGGAAAGCATCATAGATGCATTTGAAGTTCATGAAAAACCGGTATTTATGGGGAATGATTATGTTCAACTGCTTTAATCCTATGTTGCCCTTATTTAGTCTAAACAGATATGTTCCATTTTTTTCTTCTAAAGTTTTTCCATATATTTGGATGGTTCTTGGAGGGTTATATCTTCATACTCATGTCTGGATATATGTTCGACATGGATGTCCGACATGGGTTACTTTAAGAAAAAAATTATATTCTTCTTTGTTCATTGGATTGAATAAAAGGTAAGATTCATCTTGACAAGAAGAAACTTCATATCAGGAAGCTTTCCTGGACAGAAATTTATATCCTATTTTTCTTACAATCTGTTGATCATTATTTCAGGTGTCCGTTTCGACAAGGCTCTCTTCGTTCCAAACATATCAGTGTATCACAAGGTTGGATCCCATAAATTACCTACAGTCGATCCTCAAGTCGATTTGTCATGGCAATTTGGTCTTCAAAGAGTGTGGCAATTTGGTCTAATACATGGCATCTTATTTTTCGAAATTCATAGTTTCTGAATTCTGTTGAATTTGTAATTTCAAACTAATGAAGACCGCAATCCTTTTGACGTAAAAAGTTTTATTCTTTCTCTATATTTTTATTTCTAATGTTCGGTTCAATTTATGATGATTGTTTCCTTCATGTACTAGGAGAGGAGGCCAGTAACACGCATCAAGTTTGTGAAGAAGTGAGAGACAATACAATGAGCGCCGGGTGTTGTAAAAACAGTTTGGTCTTTTCTTCTCTATCATCCTCTATAAAGTGGCTCAGGGATACCGCCCAGAAGGATCGATTTGTTCAATTTCAGGTAATGCTTGAGATTTTAAGCTCGCCGTTCCCAATATTTGCATGCCTTCTGTATATGACAAGGCTGGAGTACTTCAGATCGAGTTCATGGCTATGTTACTTTAGAGTACATTACGGATTTTAACTGATTTTTTAGTTGTTGAAAGTGTAGCTCGTAAAACCTTGTAGATTTTTAGAACACGAAGAGCTATGCATGTATCGAGTAATGAGCGACTCTTTGTTCCTCCAAAAGATTAGGTTTTTTAATCGAACAGTACCTGATCGATGAATGTTGAACTTGGTGTATATTTCAATGTGTGTTCTACAAGTATAAATGCTTTATATGTTTTTTGTAGTCATACTCCATTTATACTCATTTTTAGCAGATCTTATCGACCAAGTATAGAGGTCGTGGTTCGGTTGCAACATTTTCTTTAATGCTTACGACTCGCTTCTTGTGTTTCTCTTGGGGTTTCTAATTCCCTTTTTCTGGTTGATTAGGTCCTTGTCACCGGTTCCGTGCATCTCGTCGGCGATGCCTTGAGATTAATCAAGAAATGAGGCCGAATCTCTCCCTATGTGCTCCTTGTTCTTCCGACATCATTCACTTAACATAGACAGCATTGATTCACTTTCTTTGCTGAGAGAGGCCACTTATCGACGATCCTTGACTGCTTGTTAATGGCTTCCGAGCAGCCGATTTTTCGAGGGTTTCTTGTAAACACTTGCGTATGTGAGATCCTAAATCGGCATAACTTTGATGAGCAAAGGAATGATTGTTTTGAAACATAATGAGAGAAATCCAACAAAACATTGCAATTCATTTAGATGGACAAATTAACAAATGAAGTAGGGGCTGAGAGAATCGTCTCGATCATAGGCTTTTATAATATTCAATTCAGATGAATCGACCAATGAATCGGATATTAATGATTATGCAAAAACAATCAAAATATTTTCATGTGTACCTAAAAAGATCGCTTCACTCTACGAAGAACAACAAGCGATTTTATTTCTATTTTTGTTCTTCTTAGAGACATCGATATTGGTTCCTCGAGGAAGGCTCGTAGCTGAAGTTTCTTGCCCTGCCAAAGATCTTCTGCTCAGTATTTGATAAATATCGAGCAACATCTTTTGAAAGGCTTTCTCGATATTGGTAGCATCGAGTGCCGATGTCTCCAGGAACGACAGACCTTCTTTGTCGGCAAAGCTCTCAGCGTCTTCCTTCGACACTGCTCGGAGATGGTTGAGATCCGATTTGTTGCCAGCCATCATGATTACGACGATGTTTGAACCGGCATGGTCTCGCAGTTCTTTGAGCCATTGCAGGGTGTTGTTAAAGGTTTGACTCTTGGTTATGTCGTAAACGAGAAGTGCCCCGACAGCACCCCTATAGTAAGCACTTGTGATTGCTCGGTATCGTTCCTGACCGGCCGTGTCCCATATCTGTGCTTTCACCGTCTTCCCTTCTACCTGAACAAGTAAGGCGAGACAACTTGGATTTAAATGGCGTTAGTCGATACATTTATGGTTGTGTACAAAATCAAACCTGAAGCGTTCTTGTTGCAAATTCAACACCGATAGTAGACTTGGAATCCAAGCAAAACTCATTTCTTGTATATCTTGAAAGGATGTTGGATTTTCCGACACCCGAATCTCCGATCAGTACAATCTTGAATAAATAATCGTATTCGTGGTTTACTCTATGTGCCATTTATTTTTCTTTTATCGAATCTCAAACCTGCTAGATGAAAGAAAACGAATAAACACTCTCGAACAATTCTAAAAGCGATAATAATCCGAAATCCTCTAAGAAGTTAAAAATGAAAATTCATAAGATGAAGTGCGAAGGTAGGAGAGAGATTAACCATAAAGAGATTATTAATATTCGATTATTGGTAAAAATGTGATTAGTGAATTTCCAGGTTTTTGGTGATTGTTTTGTGTGAAATTTTTTGTTCTCCATAGCCAAAAACAGAAAAAAGAAACGAGTGGCAATGCACATATACCGGTCCTTAACTAGGAGTTAGGGGTGCAGGCAGAACTTGTATTTAGAGGGTGTCAAAATTGTATTATTAATTTTTGGGGCTAAATTAAAATTTCACAAATTTTACGATATTAAACTGGAATTATCTATTTTTATGACCAATGCACCTACATGAGTGTAATATAGTGCGTTAATTTTACATTAAAACAAAAAAGAGATTCTAAAGTTTGAAAGCAGTACGCTGCACATTTTGTTATACATGTTTTTTTTAAGAAAGAACAATGATTTTGTAACAAGTAATATTCAGAGTAATTTTTTAACTATCTGATTTAATTTTGAGATTACAGTAAGCGTGGTAGTCAAAATAGATCAATTATGGATGCGTATTTATGACAACGAACACATCATAAGATGCTATAGTGAAGAATATCTTGCCCTATTTGTGGCGGTCCAAAATTATAAATTTTGATCTCCAAAAGAATTTAATACTCTTTTTTCAACAAAAAGGTATACATTTTTTTCTATTTATTTTAATATATTGATCTATATTTAATTATCCATCTAAAACAATAAGTGTGTCGCATAAATCAATTGATCATAGCGGTTAAATGTTGGTTGTTATTTTTAAAAGTTTCAAATACGAGCATTAGTAACCATAAATTATTTTAATGTTCATTGTTAAATAATTAAAAATATTTAAAATAAATACTATTATTTGTAATTATCCTAAATTAATCACCCTAGAGCTAAATGCGTCTGTCCCTCTGTCCCGCGTTTCAAAGAGGGAGACAGGTTGAGGGTGACAAACAATTTTTATTTAGTCATTTTTAGTTCATGTACTTTTCAACTTTGAAAATTTGATCCCGGCTCATACAGTATCCGCTAAATACTATTAGTTTGGGTATTATGTGTAAATTATAAATTTAATTCATATTCTCTAATATAATCGTTTTTTTTCTCTATAATTGAATCATATTATCTGTAATACCATTTCGGATCATAAATAAAAGTTTATAATTCAAAGAGTACAAATATTAAAATGATCAAACTAGAAAATAAAGACTAAATCCATAACCTACACTGAATAAGGACTAATGGCATAAGTTGACCCATGCTTTGGGTAAAGCCAGCAAAGATCGTGTCTCCTGCACTATTTGACCGCAACTTTGAGAGTTAAGATGCCATTGTTATTCTTATTTGAATTGGCATGTTCGATTAATAAAATTTAAATTCTAATTATTCTAAAAAATTTCGTATTGTAAACATACATAATAATTAATGAAAACATCACTTTCCATCTTCAAATAAATGTATAAAAAATAAGAATTACACGCTGATTATTTCTAATTTCGCAATGGATTAAAGCCAAATGGCATATTATTCAAAGATTAGATTGCTTTTAGTTTTGACAGTTGAAAACTTCTTTATACGAGTGTTACCGTTCTTTTGTGTGTGTATATATTGTATTCATGTTTGTTTCAATGGAAGGCCAAAGATGATATCTTCTTCATTGTCTGGTCTTTCATGGCCTTATCTCGGCTCTTCTTGCGACCACCGGTGCGTCTCAATCCGATTCAAAGCTATATATTTTACTCGGATTCAATAGAAATATGTTTAATATAGATGTATTTAATTTTGTTTTTTAAGTTTTCATGTTTGAATTTGTTTTAAGTTATTTTTATATAAACTTAAATCTGAATGTCACTACGAAAATATGTTGGGATCTATTTATACCGTGATTTTTTTTTACACAGATTTAAGACTGTTGGATGAGTGAAAATATAAGGCTGAGATTAACTCATTATCTTTTTCCCGGTAAATATATTCTCATTTTATTTGGTTAATTGTCTATTTCCACTCATCTAATAGGGTAAAGTCAAGAAATTTCTCCTTAAATGAGAAAATTGTTGTTTGGTTCCTTAAAAGCTTTTTAAGATACAATTTAGTATAAAGGTAAATTTCATCTAGGTCCCCCTAAATTTACAAAAATGTAGTATGATCCTTAAAATATTATAAAGATACACGTTAATATAATGCAAGGAAACAATTAGCTACCTAAAGACCTTATAATTCAGTAATTCCCCCTATTTTTTTATTCGCTTCGCCTTTTATCATTCAAAGCTTCTTTTACTACTCAAATTCAGATGTGAGTTTCGTAGGTAGATATGTTCAAAATTTCTTGTCATATAATTTTGATATTTTTTTTATATTGGTAATCTAATTTTACATTTCTAAAATTTTAATAAAGTCCTTTAACTCGTACAGTCTAATAGAAAACCGTGCATCCATCCTTATCCTTACCTTGTTTGTTCGTATTAAAAAATGTGTCAAACATGAATATTAAACCTCAAAATTTGCAGAGCTATGTTGTATACATGGGCAATTTGCCTAAAGTTGGGAGTTTAACAGCCTCACTTCATAACAGCATGCTACAAGATCTCTTTGGCAGGTACATAAATTAATAGTAAATTAATCAATAAGCCATGTTATTCAAATTCAATATTTTTCTTAAATATATTTTTTTATAAAATAAGAATATATTTTTATTTCAAATCTTTGAGTTCAGATAATATAAGACTTGTTGGATCATTCAAGATAATATAAGACTTGGAGTCCAACAAGGATGAAATTAAAACCTTTGTGAACCATTTGTATAATGTAATGGAATCAGTAATTCCATTACGATATCGGTGCTCCGTAACTACAAGAGAAGCTTTAACGGGTTTGTGGTGGAGTTAACGGAGGACGAAGCACGGAAAATCGCCGGTGAGTGAGCATGATTTCTTTAATACCATCAACTCACCTTGTAAAGATTTAAATCTATATTTTGGGCAAGGTGAATTTCACGGAAAATGGATAATAGCTTATGATCGTGGATTGAGTACGGATCTTCATCTTTTTCTTTTTTTGAAAATGTTTTCTAACTTTCAACACACATTTTTTTCCTACTAGGATTCAAACTCTTAGAAATAGGATAGAATTCTACTAAGATTTAAATTTCTAAAGATAGGATCCACAAGCACTATAAATAGCCATTGTAACTCACCATTGTAACACACGATTTACACACAAAACATAGAGGAAAGTACGGGAAGATACAAATGCAAAACTATTGTAAATGATTCGAAAATGAAATAAAAGGTAGCATTTTCTTTTTTTTTCTTTTGCATGTGCACGTTATTTTTCTTGAGATTTGGTTCGAATAACCCAAAACGTGGGTTGCGCCGATGACCAAAATGGGTGGGGTTTCGAAGTTTCGAACCTAGATCTACCCCGAGACTTATTTTTAAAAACCGATTTGATTTTCGGTTAAAGGAGGGGAAGTGCTTTTTAAAAATTTATATTAGTTCCTTTATTTATTATATGGATATTTTATTCATTTATTTTTATTATTCATGTTATTATTATATATATATATATATATTAAATTATTTTCATTTATTTTTTACTATATTTTATTATTATTATTATATATATATATTTCTTTAATATTTTACTTATAAATCTAATATTACTATATATAATTATTACTTTACTATTTTTTTTCTTATCTTACTTATTTATTTTATTTATTTTATTTTTTCCCTTGTATCTTATTTGTTTTCGTTACCTTGTTTATCTAACACATTTCTCGATTTTTTAAAGGATATTTTCAAATCAATCAAGGGTAAGTAATTAGGATCGAAACTTTACCTTTTAATTTAACTTGTTATTTTTCTTAATTAAGACAATTGGAAATTACGTAGTACCGAAAGGGCGGCTCAAGGGTGCTAATCTTTCCTTGACCGTAACCGACTCCCGAGCCCGACATATTTCTGGTAAGACGCAGATCAGGTAAGAAATAGGGTATTCGATCAACCCATTTATTTTTAAATAAATGATCGGTGGCGACTCCAATCCACATTTTTCTAAGTCGAAGCCCAATCCCGGGCACAACCGAAAGACGGTTGCGACAGCTTGGCGACTTTGCTGGGGACGATAAGTGAGTCAGGCTAAGGTAATTTACAATTGTCTTTTTAACGAAAAGGGTAAGTTTAAATTTTAAGGTAATATTTCGATCATTTTTACTTACTTTTGATTATTTTCGAGTAAATAGTTGGACTAATCATTTTTTCATGATTTCAGCCTTCAAAGTTTTCTTTTTTTCATCTAAAGGCTCTATACCCGAGCTCCGAACCCGTTTTAAGTGGGGTGAAAGCGACGCATTCGTGTGAATTTATTCATCGTATGGGCCTAGCAAGTAACCTTCGGGATTCATATACTTTATGCCTTCGTGTGAATTTATTCTCCGTATGAGCATAAGGGAATGTGTCCTCTCGAGTTTAACTTAGTTCACACAAGCTTGTGATGGGTTTAGGACTAAAGGGCTGGTAAGCCCAAGGGGGCACCAGCAAGGAGAACTCGGGTACCTTTTTTTAGAACCTAAACCCGAAGACTATAAGGAGTTAGGGCCCACCCCAAGACCTCATTTCAAACCCTAGGATACCAGAATTATTTCCTGCTTTACTTTCTGTTCAAAGCATGTGAACTAGAAATTTATGCGGTTAGGACTTGTTCAAAACCAACTTACGGGATAGAGATCATGTCCGGGTAGGAATAATAAGCATGAGGGATAGATATCATGTGAGGTAGGATTTTTCATTTTTATTATTTTGATTTACCTCACTAACTCTTTTTGTTTTTGTTCTCTTTTATTTTGTTTTCATCACCTGCATCATTTAAAAGAG